AGAGAGAGAGAGAGAGAGAGAGAGAGAGCAACACTCATAGACAGATGGTGTTTTTATGTACTTTTTGTTCAGGAAGTGAGCTGGCAGAGGAGGCAAGCAGGACGCTTGATATTATATCAAGGAGAGAGGTGGTCGTAGCTCAGAGGTGTTACTGCTGCCAAGCATGCCTGAGGGACGATAGGAAAGCAACAATAACGATGGGAAGTAACTGTGTGAAAGATGGCTCTCGTCGACGTATTGTCGCCCCTAGGCGCCTAGCTTCATTACGAAGGCTCAGATAAAGTGAGGAAATCAGTGGACATGGGAAATCCGGTTAAAATGTGGGCCTCATTGTTGTGCCCGGGAATTCTCCAAAAAAAGGCTGGGCACATATTGAATAAAAAAGATATTATTTTTTGTTTATCTTTTCTTCAAATTATTATCAGCTAGCTTTTTTTCTGACAACGTTGTAAATTCCTTTTATTGTATTGGCGAGCGTTTCTCTTCTACTTGATCAGACGGGACATTTGCTAAAATTTATTTCGAATTGTAAAAAATATTGCTCTCACACTTACGCCCCACCCCTCCCCCCACACACAGGCGCTTAAAAGCACTTTGTGCATTTTAGCACAAGCACAGAACCAGCTGAACACAAACCCATGCCAGTGCCGGATACAAAGAAATTTGGGTTCCAGATCGTATGTCATCAATGGCAGTGCCTCTCCTTTCACTTAATTCGTTTACCCAGTGACAAACTGTATTATATGAAAAAACAGTTTCTCCACTAACACTGAATATTTTCATGACTCAGTTTTTGCGATTCTCCAAGATGTAGAAACGAACATAATATTTTATTTCTTTTGTGAACTCCATCTTATCACCTCAAGAGCGCAAACCATCCTTCCTTTCAGAACTTATAAAAGAATCAAGACTGACATGAATTTCGAGCGCTTTGTTATTTTTCTAGAGTAGACATGCTATAGATGGTTTATGTATTGTGCTTTCATCACTGAAGTCAATATCTTAGCATTTAGATGGCAACCTCCGTCACTTTTAAAATCTACCTTCATGGTCACATATATTTTGTGCATATATTTCTTCTCCATAGCTAACCAGAATCATCAGACGTTGGCCCATTTGGCTGAGATTACCCACACTAACAATATTAATTTATGTTACTTAACTATCAACGAGAAAGCACAGTACATAAAAAATGACTTATTAGACATCGTTTTGCTTCTCCAAGAAGAAGTCCTACGTTTGGTGATATCCGCGCGAAATACAGAGC